TATAAAATGATACAATTTGCACGATATCAAAAGTGTATGGCCTCCCTCTTATCAATGTGATAAGAACGTTGCACTTAACGGTTTCTCATTCATTCCTTAACGGGAAATATAATGCTTAATCTGTTCTTATCAAGCAAAAATCCAGGCTTGAACACAATATTGTTACCATAGCTACAACTAGGGCCCTGTGACAACTCAGTAACAAGAGTGCTTGTGGATTTCAGGCTAGTAGTGTGGTACATTGGCTAAGCATACAGTAAATGGCATTTTTCCATTGAATGTCTAAGGAATGGTTTTGTAGATTCTAGTAGGGCTGGTTTTGACACACTGCTGCTGTACGTGGTCATTATAAGCCATGTTAACATTAGAGTAAACATATATCGAGGGAGGTTGTTTGGTGTAATGCAATCTATCCGCCACTGGGACAGGATGTACCCAGGGCGTCAGACTAGACGTGGTCGCAACACACACACACGCACACGTGCACACACACTTGGCAGGGAGCATGTCCAGCCATTGTGGAGACAACCTCCCAGGAGCCTTTACACACGACGATGCCAAAAGTGTGGCCATTTGTTTATATATTCTTCTTTAGGAAAGTGCGTCTGAGCTGAAGTGCGTCTGCGGTTTGCCTGCCACCTCAATGTGCTCATAGCGTCAGGCTTAGACTGTGAGTAAGGTATCATTTCAATTGACATTTCTTCAGTTAAACAAGGAAGCTTCATGGCTCACGCAAAATCTTCATTTCTAATGCCAGACTCTTAGCTTGGGTGCCAGTCTGTTTCTGCTCTCCATACGGAGGCAAGAAACCAGGCACAGCGGAACAGGCTGGCACCCAGGCTACCATATTCCCACTAGGGAATATGTTTACATCAACATAGGCATGCCATAAACCTAGAGTGTTTGGACCCAGTGACCCCTGGCTTGCTACTTTATAACCCCATTGAGACAGAGAGCTTTCCCTATAATGACACTGCCTAAGCTCTCCTCTCCTCAGCTGAGTACACTACCAGTATCCCATACAGAAGACCCAAGCCAATGGGTCATATCGTTGAGGGTCCATATTCAGGGGTGGCCAGGGGTTATGGACACTCCCATAACAAATCAGAGCACCGCTATAAAGCATTTAAAATATACAATTTGGGAACCCACATAAGTGTTCATAATAAGAACATTGATCCAGCAATTACTACTTTACCCATACATTAAAGCTGCAATATGTAACTTTTTGAGCGACCTGACAAAAATGCACATAGAAATGTGAGTTATAGATCTGTCATTCTCATTGAAAGTAAGTCTAAGAAGCGGTAGATATGTTCTATGTGTGCTATTTCTATGCTTCCTCTTCTTAAGTTTCATTTTTGTGTCTTTTACTTTTGGTTTTGTATCCCAGCTTCAAACAGCTGAAAATCCAATATTTTTGGTTATGGAAAATATATTTCACAGTGGTTTAGATGGTATAATGATTCTCTACACTATACTTGCTTGTTTTGTCACATAAACTGAAATTAGGCGAACTATTAGAATTTTAGCAACCAGGAAATGGCGGAGCGGTTTTTTAAGTTGTTCTTATACCGGTGTAGTAACACTGTAATTAAATTAGCTGGAAATGGGCACCAACCCTTTCCAACACTCAATGAGTAATTCAAACCCCGCCCAAACATCACCAACAACCAACCACACATCTAGCCTGGTCCCAGATCTGTTTGTTATGTCTTGTTGACTGTTGACCATATGAGTTGGCAAGACAGCATAAACAGATCTGGGACCAGGCTACAATGCATCCCAGAACTACCAGGAAACCTGAATCTAAAACAAGGAAACTTGAGGACAGCTGTGCTTTAGACTCACCAAGACAAAACACACATCGCCCACAGAGCCAGAGCTTCAATCAAGCATTGTGTTATCATACTGTTGTTATTATCTCAGGAGAGAAAAAAAAACTGGTTGTTGTCCTTTGTGTCTTCCAGTTAAGGCGTAGTGTGTTTGAACAGGCATGATGGCAAGGAAAAAAATTTTATAAAGGAAAAACTAAACTAAAAATAGAACAACTTCTTCTCATGTCTACTCTGTTTATCCCCTCTATGTATCCATATTCCTTTCATTCAGTGGGATATCTGTATGAGTCACTTTCGGCCTGGTAAGGTTACAGTGTGGCAGATTCTGAACTCTCAGTTCTCTAGATGAAGTGTAGTACCACACTGATAAAGAATGCACCTGATTCTCATTCAATGGAAAACATAAACAGCAACAGTAAAAGAGTGGAACCAAACAAAATACTCAGTAATCTTGTCATGAGTTTTTGTAACTCTCAACCCCAAAATACAAAGGCACACTGAGAATAATCCACTGCTGGTATTAGAAAATGGCTCAGTCATGCATTGATGACTACTGTTTTGAAATATGCATCAATGCTCTGTTGGCACCATATCAGAAAAAGAGTTCAACTTCATCTCAGTAGTGAGTTTAACAGTGCAACATTATTGCAGTATTTAGGTTACAAAACTGTGCAACTTGAACATAAAACATGAATCATGCAATGGTCCAAGAGCAATTATCTTACTGTAAAACCATTCAAAATGAACAAACTCACAAAACAAAAAGGCCACACATTTAAGAGAGCTTATTTCTGTTAACAACATCACTATTTACCTGCGGTTCCGTTCAGCAAAGAAATCCATTAGCTTTCTATGAAGGTGATCGAACTCTGCTCGGCAAAAGCAACTTCACAAGTTGCTACAGTGCAGCTGTGACAACAGCACAGGTGGTAGTACAGTATGACAACGCCCACCGAGGATTTATTTAACCAATAGGATGTCTCAAATGTTTCCCTGGCGATCTAGGTAGGAGGAGTTAGCTAATCAAATAGGCCTACAATATATACCTGTATTTTGTGCTGGTTGTGGTTTCTCATCTTTGAATAGATTTCAAACACAGTTGATATGCTGTTTGAAATTCAGCCTACTGTATGTTTCAGAGATACCCAGAGAAACAAGTTTTTAAAATGTAGCCTAACCATTTTATCTTGTTTCATCATCATTATTTATTTCTTATAGGATTTCTCAGATTATACAAACACACAATTATAGGACATTGATAAAACACAAAATGAAGACTAACATCAAAATTGGTACCATATGGAGAGAAACAGACGTGCAAGACAACACAATTTTGTTATATCTTGTAACATGTACAGTACCTTTCATTTCTGTTTATTTTACACCTGTCTATTGAAGTTAACTATATAGCAATATACATTGAGTGTACAAAACATTAGGAACACCTGCTCTTCCCATGACATAGACTGACCTGGTGAAAGCTATGATCCCTTATTGATGTCACTTGTTAAATCCACTTCAATCAGTGTAGATGAAGGGGAGGAGACAGGTTAAAGAATGATTTTTAAGCCTTGAGACATGGATTGTGTGTGTGCCGTTCAGGTGATGGGCAAGACAAAATATTTAAGTGTCTTTGAACAGGGTAGGATAGAAGGTGCCAGGCGCACAGGTTTGCATGTGTCAAGAACTGCAATGCTGATGGGTTTTTCACACTCAACAGTTTCCCGTGTGTATCAAGAATGGTCCACCAGCCAAAACACATCCAGCCAACTTGACACAACTGTGGGAAGCATTGGAGTCAACATAGGCCAGCATCCCTGTGGAACGCTTTTGACACCTTTTAGAGTACATGCCCTGACGAACTGAGGCTGTTCTGAGGGCAAAAGAGGGTGCAACTCAATATTAGCAAGGTGTTCTTAATGTTTTATTTTTATTTTTTATACTGGCCCCCCGTGGGAATCGAACCCACAACCCTGGCGTTGCAAACGCCATGCTCTATCAACTGAGCTACATCCCTGTAATGTATTAACCTGTGGTGTTTTCCTGACATCATAGGAAAACTGGTTAGGTCACAGTCAGGATAAACCCAGAGCCCTACCCATGTTCAACACTAAGATTTCTAACATACCAACCTCACCCTTTTTTAAGCAATTTTACTGGCTATTTTACTGTGCATTCTATTCTGCTTTATGATTGATTACTGTGTCCATATTCATTTTTCTGCAGTGCAAAGCTGTAGACAGCAATAAATTAGATCAGTGATTAACAAAAGGACAAGGTTTGGATGAGTCTATTCTGTAGCACCATAGACTGGTCTATGACACCAGGTCAATATACCCTGGAATATCTATATCCTTTCTGCGTCCCTGCGGTCATCAGTATCAGCTAAATAAAAACATATATCTTATATTATGTCAAATACAGTGTCAAATAAAGATTACAGTGTGCTACTTAGTATGATACACCTTATATTATGTACAATGGAATGTCAAAATGGGATTATTTAATACAATGTCAAATATATACATTCAAATGTAAAAACACAACATTTAACGTAATTGCTATAGGATCAGTCTGTGGAGTCCTGAGAAAGGCTGCTTTTCCTACCACATTAACCTGCCATACATTCCTCTAGTGTGGGAAAGTGAACACAATAGCCTCCCCTGCTGGTCTAAAGAAGTTACTGTGATATTTCAGAAATGTCCCATTTCAGGAAACCGTTGCTCATTGCAGTGCAGGAAGAGAGGACTTCAGTGCTTTCAAATACCTTGCACCAATGCCGGTGTAGCTACAGTGTAATGTTGAAGTTATTTTCAGGGAAGAAATATATAGTATACAAATGTACATAATTTACATAATCCATAGTGTCCATTTTAGAAACTGGGTATCGAACCGGGTCTCCTGAATGTCACAAGACTGTGAGAGCCCAACATTAGTCATCACAGGAGGGTGGTTCGCTGAACCATCAAGCAGCCATAATGTCCCTTGGCTCCAAAAAGAGTCTCATCCATTCATTTTAGTCTGGTCCACAGACTCAAGGCTTCTCACCTCCACTTGCCAGTCTCCCCCAATGTTACCAGCTGTCTAAAAAAAAGTATCAGAAATACATTAAAGTATATTTTTAAGGCTGGTCTCCCCCTTCAGGGGAGAGGCCCACTGCTCTCAGGGCTGTGCTCCACTGAAGGTGGCTATGGGCAGGCAGAGGAGGGAGCAGAAGGTGGGGTGGAGAGGCTGGATCTGGGCGGACAGGCCCTGGCCTAACCTCCAGTCTGTAGAGCTGTCAGGCTTGTAGCATACAGATACCTCACACCTGGGAGAGAAGGACGGAGGGAAGGAGACGGTGCGGTCAGTGTGTGTGTCCGTGTGTGTGTGGTTGTGTTTAACTATATTGTGGGGAATAGAAGTCCCCATAAGAATGGTAAACAAACATAAATTGGACCAACTGGGACATTTCGTTGGTCCCCAAAAGGCCAAATGTTATTCCTAGGGGGTTTGGGTTAAGGTTAGAATTAGTGTTAGGGTTAGAATTAGGTTTAGGGTTAGAAGCTATGGTTAGTTTTAGGGTTAGGAGCTAGGGTTAGGTTTAAGGTTAGGTTTTGGGTTACGGTAAGGGTTAGGTTTAGGGGTTAGGGAAAATAGGATTTTGAATGGGACTGAATTGTGTGTCCCCACAAGGTTAGTTGTACAAGACTGTGTGTGTGTGTGTGTGTGTGTGTGTGTGTGTGTGTGTGTGTGTGTGTATGTGTGTGTGTGTATGCCTGTACCTGGTGACACCCTGGAAGATCTTCTTCTCATCCTGGTCCAGACACACAGCGAAGGTGGTGTTACCAGCCCCACTAACCTGCACCTTGTCCACCTTCACCTCAGTAATGCTCAGTTGCTGTCAGGTAGAAACGGACCATTAGAAGGAATACAAGTACATTTTAGGACTCTAAGGGTCGTTTTCCCAGAAACAGATTAAACATAGTCCTGGATTTAAAAAGCATGACCAAAGGATAATCTCCAGTGAAAGTGTTTAGGACTAGGCTTAATAAAAGCATTATTAGTGGCATTAATGCTATATTTGTCGGAGCTACAGGATGCAGTGTCTCACATTAATGTAAGATCAAGTGAACAGGAAAAGGGTTGGACAATAAATAAAAAAAACTCAAGTGAAAGTCGTGCTCTGTTAAGGTAGAAACTGAGATGTGTTTGTGAAAGTGTGCATTGGGTTTCTTATCAGGTCGATCTAGAAATAAGTTCATTCTCAGGGTATGAGAGATGAGATGTTGCTACAGACCTCTTTATGGAGTCCTTATAGAGCACAGTGGTTTATGTAAAGTTGTTGATGAACATTGTCTAACCGCAAGTCACACAAACTCGATCTGACAACATCCTGCTCACCTGATTGTAGCCCTTCTTAGATTTGTTTGAGTTTTGCCTTTTCAGTACTTCTGTCATTGTCAACTGCAAGCACTCCATCTTCGCATCTAAACCGTGGGGGGAGGAAAGGATCAAAACACGATTTCTGCATTTTTGAAACAAACGTTCAAACCTAACTGATGTCGCTGCTCTCTAACATGTGTGAGCCAAGAAATGTCCAATTCATGAATGAACCGCAGAACATTGTATTACTGTAGTTTATTTTATTGCTGTAGTTATATTACCTAGTTCCTCTGGATTCTTGCAGGCTTTGGTCAGGTTGATGGAGGTGCAAACTTTGTCTTTTGTCGTCCATTGACTTCTCCCACTGATAACCACCTGAAAGAGAAAAGGAAGAAGGAGAGAGAGAAATACATCAGAAATGCATCAGGCAAAGATATTGATGATTAATTATGCTGTTGACACGTTAGTATGTTTCTAGAAGGATGAAGAGCTACTGAACACCACCTTACCCTGTTATAAACCACCTCTAACATCAGAGGGACTGCCTCCCGGTCGCCATCAATCCCAAACCTCTTGCTTGCGGCACCTACAAAGGATAAACACAGAGCTTCATATTAGGGTACAGCCATAGAGCTGAACATGATGATGATGAAGAATAATCAATCATTGATGATGATGATGATGATGAATACGAAGAATTATGATTTATACAATTAGTATTATTTTGTTTTTTTAATAAGCAAAAAGCGGTGGAAGAGATTCAGTCATGTATCATAAAAGAAATGACATGGAGGAACAAATTAGACAAATGTAGTCTCTGAATCATAGATTGATACAGCAGATTTTCCCATAACCATAATCCATCCAGACCTTGGACTCCCGGCTGAAGTCAAGATGCATATTTTTTATTTGGAAAATCTTAACTGCCTGTTGTTTATTATGGGCTGGTTGCTAGGAGACTGGGCTGAGGAAGATGTAAGTACCCATGGCCTTGATGGCTCGTGTTCCCGCGGTGTGGCCCAGCTCTAGGGAGTGGATGAACACCTCTGTCCTCCTCTCGCCTCCAGCTAACGTCATCTACAATCCCAAGGACATCAAACACTCAATACACACATTTATAACATGGAGGATGAGTATAGGAGATGTGCAGTGTGTGTGTGAGTGAGAGAGAGAGAGAGAGAGAAAGAGAAAGAGACAGACAGACTCCAGGCCTCACCTCAGCTTGGTAGAGCTGCATCAGTGCAGGCCGGGTGGCATGGCGACAGTAGTATAACACCAGGTCAGCCAGGATGGGCAGACGATCCTCATAGGAACTATCATACAGCTCAGACTCTATCTTAGAGGTTTGCTGCAAGACACAGTAAATACCATTGACTATGTGCGAGACAAAAAAAATTTCAGCATTTGATATGTCACACACACACACACACACACACACACACACAAAATGCGGTCTTACCTGACACACCACGTTGGCTGGTAGACTGAGCAGGCTCAAGGTGTTGCGTTCGTACCAGGGGTCCAGCATACCAATGAAACGGGCTATGTCGTTAGTGCTGTCTTCTGTGCCCAGATTGTTGAGCTCCTAAAAGAACAATACAACACAATACGTCAGTCTCTCTTCATTTTAGCTGCAGTAGTAATAGTATTGTATGGCCACAGAAACATTGCCTGACGACTCATCCTGAATTGAATTCCGTTGCTCTATCAATCTCTCCATACATTCATTGTGGAGAAGAAACGCTAGTGGGCGTGGCGTTTGGCCGGTGCGATGTGGATGGGTCGCCAGGCAAACAGAAACAGTCACGTATCCTAAAAAGCACTCAACCCATAATCTAGAATTATAAATTTTAGAGCTGATGTCTCTTATGGTGCACCATAAACTGTACCAGGGTTTGGGTCAACCTCATCAATTCAGGAAGGGAATTGAAGTTAAAAGTATGAATTGAAAAAACTTAAATAGTAGCACTTTTCAATATTACAAATAAAATTTCAATTATCTCCCCAATTGACTGAATTGAAATAGAATTGACCCCAACCCTGATAGGGCCACTATACTATAAGAGTTGGACTCACTGTACAGGATGTACTTCCTCTCCGTGGGCTTGCCGACTGGCCTCCAGGGCTAGGGCACCTGGGACTGGGGCACCTCACAACACCGTCCCTCTTCACGGGCACAAAGTAGAATTGCAGCCGGAAGGCTCTGCTGAGGCGCGGGCAAACGTTCTCTCTCTGTCGTAGGTTACTATAGGCCCTCGCCACCTTGCCCGCAACGTGGTCGGCCCCAAACACTACCACCCTCAGGGTGGTGGCATTACTGTTGCCCTCCTCGTCACTGCTCAGGATGGGCCTCCGGCGGAAGCACACGTGCTTGAGGGCCTGGGGGGTACAGGGGGTCTGGAACAGGGAGTCTGGGCTGCGTAGATGCACCTGCTGCGGGAGGGAGTTGGAGCGCTTGGAACGAACCACGACCAAGTCCTTAGCATCTGGGCTGCCGAGGCTCTTGGCTCTGGTCAGGGACTGAGTCTTTGTCTTGAAGAGACGGGAGAGGTGCTGGCTCAGACGGGCCGAAGCTTTGGCTGACTTGCCGGACGATGGGCTCCGTTCCGAAGGGGAGGGGCTGGAGGTGGAGGTGGCGGTGGCCGTCCTCGGGGTCTTCGTAGAAGTCGCTGTCGATGCCGGAAGTGACTGAGAGGACGGAGGGGGCGTGGGATCCGGAGGCCAAGGACAAGGTGGAGTACATGGAGTCTTTAGAGGCAGTGGAGAGGGAGGAGACGGTGGAGAAGGTAGAGGCTCGGTGGTCCACTCTGTAGCAGTTGTACATAGACATGGCGGAGACAAACTCCTCCTCTCCCTCTTCCGTCTCTCCCTCTTCCTCCTCCAGGTCGAACTCTGCCCCTTCCTCCTCCTCCTCCTCATCTTCGCCGTCACCCTGACCACTGGAGGTCTGGAAGCCGGTTAGGTCATGCTCGTTCTCCAGGATGGTGTTGAGGATGTCTGAAAATCACAAGGACACAGTCTATCAGTTACATGTACTGTAAAGCACCGTCTACAAATTCATTCGTCACAATCCAAGTCGAAATCCCCAAAGAGAAAGGAAAGTCAACCTAGGTAGGGAGAAACCTTGAGAGGAACCAGACTCAAGGGGGGGCGGGGGGGGGGGGGGATCCCATGACAAGCCATTTCATGAGAGAGTGAAGACAAAAGTCCTTTACCAAAGTTGTCCTTGTCCCAGTGAAACATGTAGCACTTGGCTGTGGGCAGTGGTAGAGTTTGCAGCATTCCTAAAAACAGAATAAATACAACAAAACAACATTTACACACATTGTATGGACATTTTTCTCATAAGCCTCTATCATTTTGACAAACCAATGCACCGATTAGGCTCCGCCCTCTCACCGTCAGACTTCCTGCCATTGGATGCTGGGACGCCAATCCTCTCCCTCAGCCCCTCCAGGCCCTGGGTCACATGATCACGGCCTTTCACCGGGTCGCCCATGGCAGCGGCCGTCTCCAGGACGTCGGTTACCATGGAGAAGATCTCCGCCAGCTCCTCTAGACTCTTGACCTGTGGAGAGATAGTTATGTTTTGTTACTGTACAGAAGATAGGTGGTCCATTTCAGAGGCACTAACAAACTATCAAACTACTAAACATTCATTTTGACCATGATGAAAAACTAACAGATTACACAGCCATCGAGACTAACAAAATCTTTGCTAAAATCACTTTATTTCTATCGGTATCTCTATAGCTCTCTAGTGGTATATTGTGTTGTCCAGTACCTGCAGGGCTTTGTGGATGTTGGCCAGGAGGTACTTGGTGCCCAGAGTAGCCTGGTAGGCATGTTTGACCAGTGTGATGTATGTCTCTCTCTGGGACCGTTGGATACTACTCAGCTGCTCTGCTACAGACAAGAACTCAGGAGGTACCTCACCAGGGTTCATCAACAGAACCGTCCTATAGGGATGAGATGGCATAGGGTTGACGTGGTGGAAACACAGGGGTGATAGAGGTCTGCACTCTAAAAACGAGTCAATATTATTATTCCTTGTTACACTAATTGTATAACAGCAAGATACAAATGCCTTTGTTACACACATAAATACACACCCAGTAACACAGAAACAGAACAAGGGGAACGCTAACAGAAGAAAAACCCACGAGAGTGAAAAGGAAGTAGTGATATATTGGGCTGGGAGTGGGTGGGGAGAACCAATAACTGAAGGGGATTTCCAGACCTGTGCAAGACAAAAATGCACAATACTTTCTAATAAGCTGTAGTAAAATATAGCAGTTGAGCTGTTGACAACCTACATTGTTTTTGAGTGATGTTTTGAGGTGGCCAGGCCTTGCTCTTCTCTCACCAGTCTGTGATAGGAAATCCCTGTGAAATGAACACACACGCTGAATAAGTTGATTGTTCCTTGCACACTAAAGTATTGTATTGCACACAATTACATAATAATTTGATCTCACAACATCACAAAATAGTGAGGCCCATTCACAACACTGCAAGTTAATTCATTTATTGGCCTCTACCTGACGTGACTTTCTCAGATTTCAGTGGGATTCTTTATTTGATCTGTCACTATCCTCTTCCAGGTAGTTGAGAGGTTGTCATAGTTCTGCTTTTCTTTCTTTTGTGAATTGAAATATCGCACATCCGCTTTCAAAGAACAGGCTACAACAGAGCCCTAAATCACTTCTCCATTATCAATGGCACATGTTTGAGCAGACACATTTACCTAACTTGACTCGACTCTTAACTTACCTAACTTGATCACTTTGAGGTGATCAAGTTCATCCGATTATGTTATATCTACAGTGCCTTCAGAAAGTATTCATACCCCTTGACTTATTCCACATATAGTTGTGTTACAGCCTAATTCAAAATTGATTACATTTTTTAAAAATTCTCTCCCATCTACACACAATCCCTCATAATGAAAGTTAAAACATGTTTTTAGATTTTTTTTGCAAATGTATTGAAAATTAAATACAGAATTATCTCATTTACATAAGTATTCACACCCCTGAGTCAATACTTTGTAGAAGCACCTTTGGCAGCAATTACAGCTGTGTGTCTTTCTGGGTAAGTCTCTAAGAGCTTTCCACACATTCATTGTGCAACATTTGCCCATTATTCTTTTCAAAATTCTTCAAGCTCTGTCAAATTGGTTGTTCATCATTGCTGGACAAGAATTTTCAGGTCTTGCCATAGATTTTCAAGTAGATTTAAGTCATAACTGTAAAACTCGGCCACTCAGGTACATTCACTGTCTTCTTGGTAAGCAACTCCAGTGTAGATTGGGCCTTGTGTTTTAGGTTATTGTCCTGCTGAAAGGTGAATTAATCTCCTAGTGTCTGGTGGAAAGCAGACTGAATCAGGTTTTCCTCTAGGATTTTGCCTGTTCTCAGCTCCATTCCATTTCTTTTTTATCCTGAAAAACTCCCCAGTCCTTAACGATGACAAGCATACCCATAACATGATGCAGCCACCACTATGCTTGAAAATATGGAGACTGGTACTCAGTAATGTGTTGTATTGGATTTGCCCCAAACATTTCACTTTGTATTCAGGACAAAAAGTTAATTGCTTTGCCACATTTTTGCAGTATTACTTTAGTGCCTTGTTGAAAACAGGATGCATGATTTGGAATATTTTTATTCTGTACAGGCTTCCTTCTTTTCACTCTGTCAATTAGGTTAGTATTGTGGAGTAACTACAATGTTGTTGATCCATCCTCGGTTTTCCTCCTATCACAGCCATTAAACTCTAACTGTTTTAAAGTCACCATTGGCATGGTGAAATCCCTGAGCGGCTTCCTTGCTCTCCGGCAACTGAGTTAGGAAGGATGCCTGTATCTTTGTAGTGACTGTGTGTATTGATACACCATCCAAAGTGTAATTAATAACTTCACCATGCTCAAAGAGATATGAGTGTCTGCTTTTTTTTAACCAATAGGTGCCCTTCTTTGTGAGGCATTGGAAAACCTCCCTGGTCTTTGTGGTTGCATCTGTGTTTGAAATGCACTGCTCAACTGAGGGTCCTTACAGATAATTGTATGTGTGGGGTACAGCGATGAGGTAGTCATCTAAAAATCCTGTTAAACACTATTATTGCACACAGAGTGAGTCCATGCAACTTATTATGTGACTTGTTAAGCACATTTTTACTCCTGAACTTATTTAGGTTTGCCATAACAAACGGGTTGAATACTTATTGACTAAAGACATTTCAGCTTTTCATTTTTTATTAATTTCTAAAATTTCTAAAAACATAATTACACTTTGACATTATGGGGAATTGTGTGTAGGCCAGTGATAAAAAAAATCTCAATTTAATCAATTTTAAATTCAGGCTGTAACACAACTAAATGTGGAAAAAGTCAAAGGGTGCGAATACTTTCTGAAGGCACTGTATTTGTGCGTTTCATCTTCCTGTGTTATCTGTTTGAGTCACTAGGTGGCAGTCACTCATCATGGTTGACAGAGCCACAGTACATGACATGGGGTGTATTCATACGGAAACCATTTACCGTTGAAGAATCAAATGAATCAAACAGAGCAAACTGAACGAAACGGGGAGGGACCTACCTGAATTTGTTCAATAGAAACTCTTGTTTGCGTTTTCAGTGTTTGGAGTAAACAGTTTATTGCAAAACGTTTCGGCGTAATGATTACACTCCTGAGTAACTATGGCTCGGACCATTGAGATAGAAGTCAACCTAGGCACTTGGTGTTTCACAAAAAAGAAAGGCCGTCTTACACATCTTTCATATGTCTGTTTTTGACCTCATATTGATCCAAAGTCCACGTTGCTCATCAATGAAGTAAATGAATAGTTCAAAAACCCCACAGAAACATAGATAGATGTATAAAACCTAGAGTAGTTCACATGTCTTTCAATGTTTACCTGGGGCCTTGATTTCCTGGTGTAAAGTGGAGAGCAGTCCTTTACACACACTGCAGTAAGGCTCTGGCCACGTCAGGAAACAGCCAAACACCTCACAGGCCTCCTCCAGCAGCTCCATGTCAGGGGGACAGAAGGGGGTCTGCAACCAGAAAAACACATAGTTAGAGGTGACTAAGGTTGGGGTTCTCGTGTTTGATTTCTTCAATTGATTGATTGATTGATTTATTGATTACCATTACCTGTAGCAGAGTGGAGGAGAACATGATAGCGAGGGGAGCCACCAGCTCATACTGACACTGCTCCTGAACCTGCACACACATACAGAGACCCAAAAGTTCATTCACATAAACACTTTACAGTTTCAGTTCTCAATTCCCACCACAAGGTGGCATACAGCTCCTAATCCCATGCTGTAGATCAGACTGTGTCTAAAATCCCACCTACATTCTGTGGAGGCTTGGGGTCATCATGACATGTGACCATAAGAATCTAGGTCATAGCAGCATCCTGAGTAGAGGAGTTATGATGGCCTCTGACCTTTCAGTAATGACCTGTGACCCCTCACCTCTCGGGTCTTCCTGAGGATCTGCTGCAGGAGGATGAGGAAGTTCTCTGGGTCTCTCTTCACCAGTTCCTCCAGACTCCAGCGGTTCATAGACTGGCCCACCGAGCACATCAGGACTGAAACAAACACGTCACATCAGATGGAGCATGCCACATTGTGTAACATGTTTATGAAACTAGAACATGCAGCTTCCCTGAAGGGTGCACAGCGTACTTGGAACAAATTAATAACTTCCTTTCAACACCCTATGTGGCAACAAGGTACCATCTGAAAACGTGACATATAAAACCACAGTGTGTAGGTGTATCATATCTGACACAGTTGGTGCTGCTACACTCTACTACACTAACCGATCCTACCCTCTCACACTACCTCATCATACTTCAGGCACACTGCGGTGGTCTGTGCCACCACTTCCTCCACAGCCATAGTGTCGACGTTGATACTTCCTCTAGCACATAATAACACTTCTCTGACAGTTTAACAACAACAGACTCACTAGGCCTACTGGGCTTCAAATATCCCTGTCAAAATGAACAGTTCTGGTGTTCAAAAGTTGAGAAAAAACGATTTACTGTCAGTGTGGTCTGACTGACAGGTAATGAAGATGACCTTGTGGAGGGGTTACATGTTGCTGGACACTTGAAATGTGAAACATCTCATGCTATTTGATACCATGTAGACTTTCTGTGACACCACACTTAGAAAATGTTCCTACAGTTTGGATCAATACTCTAACATGAACTACATGCAACAGTGACACGTGAACAGGCCTGCTTTCCATATCATGTGAACAACCATATTATGCCTTTCTTACGAAATAATTTCCCTTAGAATGAAAACTAAGTCACCAATGAAGAGATGAAATACACCCCCCATGTCCGACCCTGCTCAGCCCAGATGAGGCTTACCGTTCCAGGGTTGTGGTGTCGTGGGGCTGGGTCTGAGCCCATCCAGACATCGGTCCAGAGCATGCTGGATCCGGTCCTCAGTACACGACGTGTGCTGCATGTCTTCTCACAACCTGGAGTAGAAGAGAGGGATTGTGAGATAAACATTCATTACACACACACACACTTCTCTCCATTCATCCTTCTCTTTCCGTGAAAACATATTAGACTTATCAGATCAAGGAAGTAAACACAGGTCCAGTTTTGCATGTTGGTATACATCACAATGCCCTCATGAGTTTCGTGGAAAAGCCACAGGACAGGAGGGATTTTCAGGGGGATGGAGAAAGAGAATATCAGTTTGTTTATCTTCCTTCCTGCCCTTCTTAGAGTTTATTATATTTCTATGGCCCTTCATAGGCATCACCCTGATCTGTGTTCCTGGGAATCATATAGAGACCATAGCATATGGGATTTCCTGGTATTAGGACGCACAACAGGCATGTTCAGTAGAAACCAAACGATTTGAACATGGTTTGAAACAGAGAACATTAACTGGTATATTATCAAAAATCATTTTTCAGCTTCAAAATGTTCCTGTTTCACGCCTGTTTCGACCCAGGTGTTAGGCTCTATGGTTGGACTTTGTTTCAGTCGTGTTATAAGTGTGTTGAATCTCCTCTGTTATGCATGATGGTGTTGTATCATAACAGGCAATCTCACTCTCAATCACAGGAGTTTCATGTTTCTATAATCCAGTCTCGGCAACAACATAATAAGATGCAATAACAGTCACATGAATAAATGTACATTATATCCTCAAAACTACTGGAGGCTGATGAATTTGCTGTCTATTACTGTAATAACTGGTAATAATTTGTTAATAATTGTGTTATTTAACAAAAATGTCTAATTGTTTTTCACAACAATCTTCAAGTAGTCGGTGACACTACAGTAATTCATGTGACTAGCTCACCAATTGATCATGTACAGTGACAAGTACAGTAGCCTACTGTATGAATGTGTTGACTGCAGATTGATCAACAGCCGGACGTTCTTTGGTTATAACTTCATGATACAATCTGCAGATGTCTCAAGAAAGGCCTGTGAAAATGCTTGTCAAAGTCATTGATGTGTTTTTGACCAGCTACAGTAATGTAGGATACTGTACATTCACAGAGAAACATCTTTGTATTAGCCTGAGTGCCAGTCTATTTGTGCTATCATGCCAACTCTGTATCACTCATTGCCATGCCTTTGTCCTGACAATGAGAGCAGTAGGAGGCTATAGTGCAAAATAATTACAATTTAGTATTAACACTGGAATGATGTGCAAGAGATGATGTGCAAATAGAGATACTGGGGTACAAATGAGCAAAATAAATAACAATATAGGGATGAGGTAGTTGGGCGGGCTAATTTCAGATGGGCTGTGTACAGGTGCAGTGATCGGTAAGGTGCTCTGACAACTGATGCTTAAAGTTAGTGAGGGAGATAAGTGTCTCCAGCTTCAGAGATTTTTGCAATTTGTTCCAGTCATTGGCAGCAGAGAACTGGAAGGAATTGCGGCCAAAGGAGGTGTTGGCTTTGGGGATGACCAGTGAGATATACCCGCTGGAGCGCAGACTACGGGTGGGTGTTGCTATGGTGACCAATGAGCTAAGATAAGGCGGGGATTTGCCTAGCAGTGATTTATGATGGCCTGGAGCCAGTGGGTTTGGCGAAGAATATGTAGTGAGGACCAGCCAACAAGAGCGTACAGGTCACAGTGGTGGGTATTATATGGGGCTTTGGAGACAAAACGGATGGCACTGTGATAGACAACATCCAATTTGCTGAGTAGAGTGTTGGAGGCTATTTTGTAAATGACATCGCCGAAGTCAAGGATCGGTAGGATAGTCAGTTTTACGAGGGCATGTTTGGCAGCATGAGTGAAGGAGGCTTTGTTGCGAAATAGGAAACCGATTCTAGATTTAACTTTGGATTGGAGATTCTTAATGTGAGTCTGGAAGGAGAGTTTACAGTCTAACCAGACACCTAGATATTTGTAGTTGTCCACATACTCTAGGTCAGACCCGTCTAGAGTAGTGATTCTAGTCGGGTGGGCGGGTGCAAGCAGCGTTCGGTTGAAGAGCATGCATTTAGTTTTACTAGTGTTTAAGAGCAGTTGGAGGCTACTGAAGGAGTGTTGAATGGAATTGAAGCTCGTTTGGAGGTTTGTTAACACAGTGTCCAATGAAGGGCCAGATGTATACAAAATGGTGTCGTCTGCGTAGAGGTGGAGAGCACAAACAGATCTGGGACCAGGCTACTAGTGTTTGAATCGACTCTACACATTCTAAGATTCCAATATAGGGACATAACCAATGGTACTGTCTAAGGCTGCTACTGTATTGTCCTTTCTTGCCCCACTGGGGAACTTTACCATGGGTTAAAGCCCAGGTTTGGAGTTTCCAAAGTGGACAGTGCAGCTTCCTTTGTTGAGTGAAAACAAATGTTTTTCATGAGACAATACACTTAAATCCCTCCCACCAACTACAAGTGTTAGTATCCAATAACAGGCTCAAAAACTCCCCATCGAGACAGAGAAATCCCCTATATCCCACATGTGAGTGATAATGTGTGCCAGATAGCACCGTGCTGCATATGAATCTGTGCCTATAAATGACTCACACAAATGCACAAAAGGTCAGAGGAGTGATTGCCATGCTGATTAGTGGTAATATCTCACCATTAAAAATCCACCAGACACCTGCTCTGAGTGGACTTATGCTGATTCTGACCAACCAATCCTTATCTATGAGTGTTCCTCACTGGCCTTATGTTGATACAGAGATAGGGTCTGTGTTTATGTTTTAGCTCCAGGTCAAAACAAGTACTAGTTCATTTGAAGCATTTTAACACCAGGAGCAGGCTTCATTTGGGTCCTGGAAACCGCCTCTTAAGTAATGTTACAGGGGACAGGGGTTAGACAAAGCCAAGCTTTCTCAACTGGGTCATTCAACTGCTGTTGAGAAAGGCAATATTATAAATTCTCATGATGAGAAGTCTCCCTATTTCTAGGACTTGTGTTGGACTTTTCACAGTGTTGACCACATGACAGGAAACTGTCATTGTGTACAGATGGGTCTGGGGGGCCAGACACACACACACAAAGAAGCACACAAACACCACAGGAGGTTGGTGGCACCTTAATTGGGGAGGACGGGCTCTTGGTAATGGCCATTCCATTCGCTCCGTTCTGGCCATTATTATGAGCCGTCCTTCCCTCAGCAGCCTCCTGTGACACACACAAACACAACAGGGCCAGAGAGCGGATAGTCAGACGGATGGGGAAATCGAGGGTTAACCCGGCTTCAGAAGCTAACCGGCGGGGCGCCCCCGCCATTAAGGCCCCTAAGGAACCATGAGAGGAAGAGCATGTGACCAAAGGCCAGGGGGTCAGAGTAATTAACCATTATTTCCCAGCACCACTACTGTTAATAACAACAATATGGTAAACCCCGACAATAATAATAGAAGTTACATAAACAACACGTCCATACAGCCTAATTCTCAGCCCCCTTCGCTAAAGGTGTATTGTGTCCCGTGTAGCTCACTTGGTAGAGCATGGCGCTTGCAACGCCAGGGTTGTGGGTTCGATTCCCACGGGGGGCAAGTATGAAAAATGTATGCACTCACTAACTGTAAGTCGCTCTGGATAAGAGCGTCTGCTAAATGACTAAAATGTAAAAATGTAAATGTGTCCCCAAAAGTGTTATATCCTAGTCTGAGATCTGTTTGGGCTGTCTTGCCAAATCTGTCATTGTTTGGGTTGACAATGACCATAGGAGTTGGCAGGACAACACAAACAGGTCTGGGACCAGGCAAGATGTGTGGCACGGTCAGTAGGTGTAGGAAAGTTACTGTTTGATACTAACCGGTAATGACCCACTGGTCATTGTTGGACACAGGTCAGGTGGAATGGGAAGGAACTAATAAGTCATAGAAGTTCTGATGGCTGTATCCAGCCTAGGGTCAGATGTTAACTCTGGGTATAATAAAGCAACTCTTATGATCTCACATACAGTAGGATATTCAGAGTGAGTCATCCACTGCCATATAATGGCTGACTGTAGGTTATTAACTTATTTAAATTATTATGTAGTGGTATGAATGCATTTAGTATGGATTATGAATATGTAAATATGTAATATGTAAAGTCCTTCAAACAAAGTGTTACCAACATTTTCTAAACATCAGTGACTGTTGGATATATTTCACATAGTCAATGTAACAATAGCATAGAGTAACAGGCTGTTCTGGAAAATTCTATTCAGTAATTGAATCATTCTGTTTGCATGGCAACTATTGAAAATATATGAAATTGTGGGCTTTCATAAGAGGATGTATGAATGTCCTCTCAAACGTCAACAAGGTCACTTCCACATTTTCAGCTGTTGCGAAAGCTGACTAAAATGTCACGTCTGTCTCTAGGTGCCATGTCTCCGGTCTCTCCTTTGTCCTTCACATCACATATCATTTTGGAGTATCCTACACTCTTAGAAAAAAAGGTGCTATCTAGAACCTAAAAATGGATCTTCGGCTGTCCCCATGGGAGAGCCCTTTGAAGAACCCTCTTTGGTTCCTGGTAGAACCCTTTTGGGTTCCATCTAGAACCCTTTCCACAGATGGTTCTACATGGAACCAAAAAGGGTTCTACTTGGAATTTTTGTTAAAGGGTTCTCCTATGGGGACAGCCGGAGAACCCTTTGGGAACCCTTTTTTCCTAAGAGTGTAGCATCTGCAGGTTTTCCACTAATCCCTGATTTTAACCCAAGGTACTAGCATGACACATCCGATCTCATCCAATTAATCAATTAGGATCAGATACATCAACGGATCAATACAAACAACTGACTGCCACGATCAAGCCAACAACTGAGTCATATTGAGCCTGACCGAACATAACCTGACTATTTAGTCTTATTGTCAGCAGATTTATAGGTCAAGCCTGAATGTGACTCAATCCTGATGGAGTACTCTTGCACACAGCTGTGGCATGATGAAGGCCCTCAAGTAATGTCAAGTCAACAGTAACAAGATCTTCAGTTTGCCGCTAGCCGGGTTGCCAGATCTGTG